CTTATATGTTTTTACTATTTACGCTGCCACTGATCTACCACTGATTATAAAAAAATTGATTAATGATCGTCACTATATAACCTGCACTATGTTTGTAATTATACTTGCATTAGACCCCCCAGTAACTGGTCGCACCTCTAGTTGATAGTGATATTAGTGAGGGATTATAATAAAGTTGATATATATAATTTTGTGGTTTAGGTTGATATTAACGTATATAAGTTGATATTAACGAGGGTCATGTGTACTATACAGGTGTTTCCATTTTTTATGTGACCTTATTTGCATAAATAATTATCGTGATTTCTATACCGGGTTGGTTAAAAGTCCCTCTTTTACCATCTCCGCTAATTAATTTTATTATTTGTTATATGTACATATATACGAATTTAATTTATTACAACGATTGCTAAGCATCAAAGTTATAATCAGTGTGATTAAAAAATGGGGACCTGTTTAGGGACTTTTAGCATATGGGCTAATTTTCGATTATTGGGCCCTGAATAGAGTCACCAAATTTAGTTTAAACCCCTTGTTTAATTTTTTTTTATTGGTCTGACGAATTCTTAGGGTGATTGTTTTGGTTTAATGAGGGTCTATTCTGCACGATTCTGTAAGAAGGATTTAATGAATATGCATAAAACCCATTAGGTTATCTTAAAACCCATTAGATTATCGTCTAATTATTAACCTGGACCTACTAAGACATGCTGTTTGACTTTGTTATTGTTATGAGTAAATGGTCAAAATAAACCTTCCGCCTCAGTCATTCAAACAATTGTATTGTCAAATAATCTGTCCCACTACGTATATCAAAAAATTTTGAAAATAGGGTCCGTGCATAGGAACTTCTGAAAAAAATTATAAAAGTTCGTGTAACAGTACTTTTCAATCATATGTAAAATTTAAAGGTTTAAAAATCAATTGCTTTACGTACGTACTTTTTGCTCAAAATGCGTCGTGCGAATATTAGTAAAATAAAGGACCCTATTTCTCCGCATGCGACGCGATTAGTTTCTTATATGAATACGCACCCTGAAACAATTCTCACATATGCTAAGTATTTTGGAAAAGTTCAGAATGCCGTCAGCGCGCGTATGACAGATATGGATTCCGATGGGTTCGTTGTATTAGCAAAGGAATCAGATGGGACAGAAAATGAAGTTCATATTAGATTTAAAAATCAGCTGAAAAGTTATGAGCAGGTTAGACCAGTATTGACTGAGATGGCCAAAGAGGCAGAAGAAGCTTTATCTTTGGTATGTATTGTACAAGTTTTTGTTTATAAGTGTCGAACTTATTTAATCGCAATTCAACTTTTAGCCCAGTACAACACCTCCGCCCATGCCGTCTAGCAACTTTACAAACATTCATACCCCTTTTAATCCACCAGAATCATCAAAATTCATTGGGACTTTGTCAATAATTATTTTCGGTGCTGTTTTGGCATTTTATCCTTCTCCAGTACCAGAAGCTATCAAGATTTTAAGGTCAATATTTGGACAAGAGCTCCTACGGGGTCTTGTTCTATTTATAATTGGCGCCCATATCATTGAAACCTTGATAGTCATTTTTGTTTTGGCGAAGAGAGGGGAAAATGATTTAAGAACGTGGGTACTGTGGCTTGGGACTACAATACTTGTTGGTCATTGTTGGAATTTATGGATCACGAAAAATAAAAGATTTTCTGAATAAACCTTTGCTCTTGTATCAAAAAGTTGACTATGTATATAATAAAACTTCTATCATACCGTCATAAATATGAAAACCACATTGTGTTACAGTAAAATACCTAAAGAGTGGTACAAACTAGAGTTTTGCATAAAATGACCATAAATATGAATTGCAAAAAATACACATTTTGGAAAAATGAATAACGACTTTTCGTCCACGTATCTTCAGTCAAATAGCAGCAATGCTTATTCAGCGCCTAATTCACAACAGATCAATGCTGGATATGAAACTCGACATTTATCCACCTATCCGTGGCTTGTTTCTGAACAGCAAGCACCTCAAACACAGGCAATAATACCAACAACTTCAGCATCAACTGGTTCGACTTCATCCAAAGGTATTTATATTACTCCAGGATTAGAAACGAACGGTAACCTCGTACCAACGCAAAATACTCCGGTTGTTGGCTCAAGTATAAGAAATACAAGTGTGAAACACGGAGCAGATAGCAGTACAAGCACACCTGCTAACACACCTTCCACCAACATGAGTGAAACTGGTAATAATAACCTAAACAATAATAGAGCACCTGAATATGGTAAAATTTTGGTAATTTGTAGCTTAGTATTTTCCAAATTCATAGTGGAACTAATCGATTTTTAAATTATTGTAACCGTAATAATTCAGTTGATTATACTCAAAAATGCGTGCAGGCGGTACATATTTCATTTTTTATAATATCTGATTGTATTTAATTTTTTAATGAATATTCCGTCTTTAAAGATCAGAATGATCCATCCGAAATTAGTAGATATGCCAAAATATTGGACACTGGGAAGGAGTCTTATTGAACCATATTTATAAAACCTCTCTTATAACTTCCATTTGATTCAATTTACCTAGATTCTTGAAGTCAATTTCGAGCTGATTCGTGTTTGTATCGATTATCACACCAATAAGTGGCCAAATGAAGAATTGACTATGTATGTAAATTGATAATACCTTAATTTCAATAATTTAATGTTATTTAATTGTTCCTTTATCCAGGTATAAAATGCGCCTTCAAACAAATTTGGCCTATCTCGCAATGGTAGCCGATGAATACAACGGAAACCCTCGAAACGTGAGTGCTTTATAATTTTAAAAGTGTGGATCTGATAACAGCTTACGAATCTATTGATTAATGTCCTGATAATTAATTGTAGAAAGTAAAGCCCAAAGTACCTGATTTATCCCCCTTACCCATTCCACGTGGTTCATGCGGACAAAATCTTAACAACCTTATTCAACGAGCTGTACAAGTCTTTTCGGACTATAAAAAATTTCATAGGTCCGATGGTGTTTCTACAACTGTAAGTTCTAATGCGAATAATATCAGTCATACAAGTAATAATATTACCAGCAATATATCGCCTAGTACGGTTTCAGATGGAGGGACATCTACCTCACCTCGACAATATAAATTGCCGACTTCAAGTAGTATTATGGGTTCCGTGCTCCCATCATCATCTCAGTATCAGCAAATGTATCAAAAACAACAGCCCACCCCGCAGCAGATGCATCCTTCACAACAACTGCAAGTTTCACAGCATCAGCAGCATCAGCAACAACATACTCAACAGCAATCGTCTAACCGGTTCTCCGGATCTATAGCGCCATCCGCAACGATGGCTGCAACTTATCAGCGACATTCATCTTCGCTACAACCAAATATGGTAGCTAATAATAACAATATGACCGATTATACAATGATGACAACAAGTAATAATTCCGAACAATCTTATCAAGTTCTTCCTCCGTTAGTTGGAATTGGTGGTATGTCAATTGGAAATGCAGGGAACAGCAATGCTAACAACGGACAAGGCACAGGAATATTACCTTCTTTAATTGGTTTAAACGATCAGTTTGGCATGCCTATATCTCAACAGCAACAACAACAATTACAGAATGTAGGATTCACAGGATTTATGAGTGGCAATTCTGGAATTTCTAGTGGTGCAGGATTTTGGTACCACAAATACTTATGGTATGGCCCGATATTCAAGCGCTAATGGAAGTAGCGTCATGAATAACGGTGGTATTGGCAATAATGGAGCAGGACTGGCAAGTAACAATAACATGGGAAGCAATGGTATTGGTGTTAATGCTTTGGCAGGTAACGGTTATGGAAGCAATAGTATGTTAAATCATGATAATGGAATGTAATATTTTAGGAACAATATATAATAAAATAGATCAAAATAGTGTAAATAATAATAATATATAGTATTATTATTATTTGTAATATTATAACTAGTTTTTTATATAAACTATCAAGCATTTAACTGGTCAAAGTAAACTAGAAAAATGTAATTTACAAATTTTCAAAATAAGACTAATATTAAATTATGATTTTTTTAGAAAAGAATTATGTAATTTAGCGCATGTGCATCTACCTAATTAACCAATTAAATCGTAACAGTATAGACATGTTAATCTATTATAGTAAAATAATAGGGTGTTCCGGCGCCTCTGCTATACTACTTGTGTTAATTCTTATTGATTTTTTTAACAGTCTTTTAAATAGGTATTAGAGAATTGCTATTTGTATACTATATAGTACAGTATAAAACCAATAAAAATTTTAGAATTATATGCAATTTGCAGATCATATGCAAATCACTTTTTTGTACAAAAATAAAGCAAAATATTAAAATGTTTGGGCTTTAAGAAAAAAAATTTTTTGTTAAATTTTACTATAAGCTTTGTTTAACTCTAACCTTAAACCTTTATTTATTCTTATTCTAATAATAAAGAAATTTAATTTTTGTTTTAATAAAAATTTTGATTTATATATTACATAACATTAATGATTATATATATGTATAAATATATATATATTGTAATTTTAAATTTTTTTTTATAATTATAAAATTGAATTAAGATATTTTTATATAAAAAATAATAAATTAATAAATTTGTAACTATAAATTATTATAACTATAACTAAAATTAGATATAATATGATTATCAAACTAATTTTTTTTTATAAAAATAAAACTTTATAGTTAAAATTAAAATTAAAATAAAGCTTGGGTTAAAAAAGACAAATTATATCAAAATTTAACAAGGAATTTTTTTTTTGTTAAAATATAAAAATAAGTTTATAGTTAAAATTTTAAGTTAAACTATACAAATTTAATAAATTGATTCTCATAACTTGACCAAGTCAAATTTTGCAAAATTCTAAAAAAATTTTTAACTATATTTACTATCTAGATGAAGTTTTTTTAAAAGTTTATAAAAATAGGGGTTGGGTCCCATAGCTTATTGATTAAGCTCCCAAACCCCTACAGACAAGGTCAACGGTTCGAGTCGGGCTGGAGGCAAATTAAATAATTTATTTTTGTAACCTATGGAGGCCATAATCAGATGCGAAGCCCTGTGGAAAGTCCAAGTGCAGTACGAAACTAGAATAAGCAGTTCCCGGAAGGAGATCAGGTT